AGAAAGGATGAAGATGCAAATGTGTTTACACAATATCCTTATTCTTGGGAAAACTTATTTCCCACACGAGCAAAATATACTTAAAGTATACTTAAATTGAATCAACGGTCAAGTCATTTTGCTAAACTGCTTTTCTAAGGTATAGTGTCTTCATTGGCGGATATAGAAAACAGAACATAATTTGTTCTTTAGAAAATTGACTGCAATCCATTTACTTTAGGGTGATTACTTTTATTATTTAGTTATTTACGCATTTATTTATGTACATGTTTTTATAATTTTCGAAACCTTTAAATTTCTAATAAAAATTGTTTCCCTTCCAGCTCTCTCTGTCACCTTTTTAGATTAGATCTCGTTAAGTACATTAGTAAACATAAAATTTCAGCTCTTTATCTCTTACAGTCTGTGAGCTATCACCGAAAAAAATAAAAAAAATATTTTCTTAAATTTTAAACTTAAATTTATTGTCTTGCAAATCAATATGCATAAATTTCATTGACAAAGCGTCTTCTCTTCAGCAAAAAATCTTTTCTCCAATATAACGTTAAAGATGAAGAAAATGTGGAAAACCACCTTTTTAAGAGCGCAGGTATATATATATATGTATATATATATATATATAGACAAACCATCTTTCGCCTAAAAACAGACGCAGGCACGAGGTGGTTGCATTCACGCTCATACATCCTTGGCAGAGATACCAGGTTGTGTGAAAAAAGGAAAAATGAATAAGATGTTATTCCATTTTCCTGTCGTTTACAACGAATGCTTCCTTAACGGATATGAGATGAAGCAAGGTTTCGAGAGTAAAACCATAAATTCAAACTACTAAAAGGTATCCAAAAAAACAAAACCAAAAAGGGAAGAGAGAATGTGCAAAGAACGAATATTTTTTATTCTTAAATTATTGAAATTTATTTTATTATCAAAAACCTTAAAGCTTTCAAGGCTTTTTTCATAGTTGAGTGACAGATACAAACGTTAAAAAGTTTAAATTATTAACCCTTAAACTTCAGTCAAGAGCGAAAGATTCGTTTGAACATTGACCATAATAAATATTTACATGCGCACACACATATGCCGAAAGTTGCTGGTCAACTAGTTAAAGTTAAAAACTTTTTGGTTTATGAAACTAACAAAAAAGTTCAAGTGTTTGTAACAAGAGTTACAGTGTAACATATTTACATCAAAACGAGTGAACAAAAAAAAAAAAAAAAAAAAAAGAATCAGTTCTTTAACCAAAAGTCTCGAAAGTCTTCAAATTCTTACACAAATTTACTCAGTTGTTGTAACAGTCTATAAAAGAGACAGTAAAAAATCCTTGAAGTGATGACGATGTTATTTCCAAAAGAATGTTAAAATCAATGAAGTGAAATAAGGCATATATATATATACCAGAGATATATATGTACCAGGGAAAGAACTCGCAATGCCTTGTTATTCGGGTTCATGTGGTTAGGCGCGAAGTTTATTATAACAAAGTCAATTCTGTAAAGTCGTGGTGATAATAAAAAGACTACTGTGACTCATGGCCCACTGTAAAATTCCCTACACCACCCTACAGTTTAGAATTAAGCTTTAGAAAAATGGACTTAAGAAGAAATACAGTTCAAGTGTACTCTGCTAGTCAAACCTTTGATGACAAATGCCAGAAGATGGGATTAGAACGGCTTCCAACTGGATGTCTTTTTATTAAAAAAAAATTATACATAAAAAAAAAATTAAAAAGAAAACGATATTTTGGTACGATTTGAATGAGTGAAGACCGTAACAAGACTCTTGAAAACATTAATAATTAATATTATTAATCTGATTTGAATGTTGCACAAACGGCACATAAAGAAAATAACAACTTAAGGACAACTGCAGCAGGAGTCGAACCGGCGTGTGCCAGCTAATGGCCAGTTAAAATTGAAAAATTTCTGTTTAACACTAAAAAAAGGCAAATATATGCGACTGGGTTTCGAACTCGCCATTTTTTTAGATTCCTATGCGGACCTGAATTTGGTTGATGATCATTTAGTCAAGCGATGCGTAGCAGAAAAGCATTTTGTCGTTTTCATTGATATTGCAAGCACGAGAATAATGCATTGAGACAATTTAGTGGCTAAGAGCAGATATCAAATTTAAGGTTTGTCTTCTTCTATTTCAAGAACGTAGCAAAATTTTATGCCAAAGATGCTTTGATTATCCTTGATAAAGTATTGAAAAACAAGTGAGGACATTCTGATAGGGCAAGGACAATAATTAGATACCCTACGTCTCTTCGCCTAATACAGTTATTCACTCGTATTGGTAATAATACACCAAAAGTTGCACACTACTTTCATGCAAAGGCATACTTTTCATGAAAAACCACATCCTGGAGGAATTCTTATATCCGGTGATTTCTGAAAAGGAGACTTTTGAAGAGAAAATTGGACCGATCGAAACCATATTCACCAGCGTTCGTCCTTGAGCCAAAGCACGTCTGTGTACCAAATTTCACGAAAATATCGAAGCAATCATGTCAAGTAAACACAAGTTTACATGGACAAACATCAGGCGGATGGACAGACAGATAGACAGACAGACAGGTTTAGATCGATTCAGGAAAATGATTTTCGAATCAGACACAAAGACTTACTTTTCATGAGAGCCTTTATGTAAGAAGGGGCCGATCCAAAGTTATTGCAGTACATTAAATGTGAGATCAGAGATGAGAGGATATTTCAAGATGAGAGGATATCTCAACTTTGTACGGATATATGCAACAGTGTGGTATAGACTTACTTAAGGCTTTTGGTCTGTTTAATTTCCAGGCCGCGATGTTTAAGGTATTTCGATGAGATCTGAGCTACTGAAGATAATTCGAATTGAATCACGTTATATGAATATTTGTAGTGTGGGGTAGCGTGTCTAATGGTCTGCTTTGCCCAACCATACTCTCTTCCTGCTTGTTTTTATTTTTATGAACGTTTATGTAAGAAGGGGATTTGTCACACGACTTTTCCTCCCACGTTCGTCGAGAAATATTGAAAATTGCAAACTTTTCCATACCGAAAACCTCTTTTAAGTGGGGCGGTATACGTAAAGCACTTCTAGATTAAAATAATTGTATTAAAATCAATTCTCTCTGTTATGGAATAACAGAGATGGTGTTCAGAATTTCTTAAAAAAAAAAGAAAATATGGCCGAAAATTTTTGCGGACATTTGAATTTGACAAGACCGCCCGCTATTTTGGACGTTTTCTGCTTTCGAAATTCAAATTTTGTCATAGTCAATACACACTAAAGTGAAGAGTTTTCGCGAAGACTTTGATTGAAATGAAAAAAGAAAAGTTTGTTTGTTATAATAAAAAATTCAAATATTTTATGCTAACAACCAAATCATTTATAGTTTGGAAGTTGTAAGCATTTTTTTTTGTTATTAATTCGTGTTAGTTTTTCATTTTGAATTTTATTTAATTTTGGTTTTCCTTTTTTTTTTTTTTTGGTTCTCCTCTTACTCTCATTTAATTATCAACGAAAGGCACTGAAATCGCCTTAGACTTGAATGCAATTTGCCATGTGGTTGGATTGCCAGGTAGGTGTGGACATTTCTATCATTCATTTCGACAACGGTTGCCACCCACCCTTCTTCCTTTATTTTATTTTTGTTTGCTCATACAGGAACACATATACACACACACACACACATATATATATATATATATATATATATATATAAACACATATATATGTGTACTGACAAATTTTTCAATGTTTATGCTTTTATGCCCCTAAAGCATGAAATGTAAAAGTTATATTGTTGACCCACCATTTGTTGTTGTTGCTGTTATAGACGATTTACAATTTTTGTGCGCAGGTTTCCTATAAGCCTTATACGATTGCTTGGTTACATCTGTGTATGTGTAAACATATACAATAGCATGCATAACTTATGAATAAAAAAAAAAAAGGAAAAAAAAAGACAAAAAACGTCCATGTAACGGCATGACACTATATAACGTTGCACTAACATGACACAATACGAGTGGCGTCTTTGGAATTTTTTCTCCTAGTTTTTAATTTTTCTTGTTTTTTAAGCCATTTGTCAATTATATGACGAATGTTTAGTGGTCATGGAAATATATGACTATAAGGACGTATAAGAGAAATTACATTAATTTTTCAATTTATCAAAAAATTACTTTAAAAAAGCGTCATATTTCACGAATACTACTCATTCCACGTTCGATATCATATTTTTACAAAATTATATAAAATAAAAGATAGGATAGGTCGGACTTAGATTTCAGCAAAGTTGGTTTACTTTCGGAGAGAAAGCCATAGAAAGGCGAATGAAATTTAACAACATTCTCATGCCACGAAAGCGATTTTCCATTTTAAAGATATCGAAATATTTATCCAGTATTTGATCCAGTTATGAAATCTGGAAGCCATCCAGAAGTTAATAAGTCGTCATTTAATGAGTTAATCATCGTTGTGAAATCAATTCCTTTTCGTTCGATTGTCCAGTCGCATGTTCACAATGCAAATTGTAATCGGTTTTTGTAAAAACACACCCAGGATGTTCCTTTGCCCATCTGTCCGTCTGTGGTGCACCTTCTCAAGTTCGCCGAAAATGGCTCAAATGGGTCAGAGAACACGCCTACAATGCCCACATGTCCACAAAACCATATCTGGGAGCATTTTGCTTTCCATGTCTTTTGCTGGTTGCTCATAAACTCCACCAAATATACGATATAAATATCCACAAATTTATTCTGCAAGAATATGATAAGAGTCAGCCACATCCACCCATTTTTATGTAGTATGTAAACTTTTTTTTTTTTTGAATTTTTTTATAAAATAACTGTGATGAACGAAAATAAATTTTCTCCTTTATATTGAATTCGTCGGAAAAGTCGACCATAAACTTCTTAAAGGGCAATATCAGTTTTCTAGATATATTAAGAAAATCTAATTCTATGGCATTTTTATTTAAATATTATTTTTTCTCTGTATTTTCTTTTCAGGCGATAATTCAATCAGTAAGTACATCATTTTAATGCACAACATTATTATTATTATTCATATCCTATTGGCAAATGAAAGAAATATTGCATTTATTATTGCGCACATAGAGTTGAATTCTGATAAATTTATATTCGAAGTCTATGTGACTTGAATCCTAATAAATTTAGAATACATTAAGACGTTGCACAAAGTAAATTCTAATCAACAACCTTTGATCTGTTTATTTAATCCATTTTTAATAGTGCTAGAAAAGTCATTTGCTCTATCGATTCGGTCTATCATTAGACCTTATTATCTCCTTATTATCACGGCTATCAAGGCACTATAACAATTTAATCATTTTTGTTTACAGTAAAACAAAAAAAAATTCCCATCAACCTTAGTCCTTAAATATAAAGAAAAAGACTTTTTAAATTGCACAAAAGAGGCAGTTTATCTTATCAACTTATATTGTAAAGAAGAAGAATTCATTCAAAGAAGAGAACAGGTCTTGTTTTCCTAGATGAAATAAGAAAATTTGCTTACGCATCCTCTTTTATTGTTTATTAGGAAAAGCAATAAAGGGATCTATTTTTGTAGAAATATTTGACTTAAAAAATTTATCTCTAAACATCAGAAAAACTAAACATGTTTGATTTTTGTACCCATCGCCCAAGGATAACGGGTATGTGCATTTTGTCAAAATGTCTCTAACACCCTGAAGGAAGCCTCAGAGACTTCGCAAAGTATATACATTCCTGATTAGCATCAAATTCTAATTCGGTCCTTTTAAGCATGTCCGTCTGTGTAACGTCTGTTGTAAACATTTTTCTGGCCGCAATAATGATGCCATTAATTTCACATTTTACAAAAACACTGAAAGTTTTTTGCGCGCAGATTGATATTGAAAATAGGCCTAATCGGTTCAAGGACAAGCCTACACGTAAACTTAGCACTTCTCCGCGTTTCAAAAGAATAAAAAGTCGGACTTTTAGTCCTTACTCAGAAAAAACGCGGGCAACGCTATAGTATCTGTATAAAAAAGAAAAAAAAACGAAAATTTAGTTATTTCATTGTTTTTTTTTAATCTTTCTAAGGATGACGATGATGGGTAGAAAACATTCGGTTGCAACCGAATATAATTAAGTCATTCTTTTTTCGAATTTTCGTTACGAGTCTCAGGGATAGGGAAGAAATCAATTTTTTATCGTGATATTGAGGCTCAGTATGTAAATTGTAAGAAAAATGCTCTTATTCGACTTTTTGCTACATCTGGCAGGGATTGCATCTCCCATTTTTAGAACACATTTACAGAAATAACAACAACAGTTTTTATGCGATCTAAAATAAAAGTAAGGATCGTTATCTATAAAATCCAAATTTCTGAGTAAAACTTTTACGCCAGTACAAGGAAGAAAGTCATTTATTAATCTTCCCCTGCTAGTGAAGATATTGTGCCGAACTAAACTTAATTACATTCAAAGTAAAACTAGTCAATGTTTATAAGACTGGGGTATATTCGTAGATGAAGCCGAATTGTCACGCGTCTAATGCGGGACATCCATGAGGAATTTTTTAAACATATGGGTTTTTCTGCGTATAAGTTTCATTAACGAACTTCAAATGTACTATCGAGATCTCTGCATTGTAATGCCTAGGATCAAATCGTCATAAGATCAGCTCATAAGTGTTAAAAACAAAGTTATATGAATCGGTATTAAATCTATCAAAATTTATAACTGCAAATACCGAGCATTTAAGAAGTTCGCATCAGGATTCTTAACTACTATTGGACAAGAGTTTTTGCCAAAAAAAGTCTCGAGAATTGTGCCCTAAATGGTTTGACTTTAAATTATCTACTCTCGATTCTCTTGACGTTTTCGCGGAGTCTATTTAATCAAACATTACAAGAAATTGAACCATTCGGACGATAACGAGAAGCAATAGTCATCAATAATGTGTGAAAGAGAAGCATCGGTTGGCTTAAACTGGAATTTTTGAAACGTGTTGCCATCGTTTCTATAACAACACGTAAAAGTCGACCTAGATACCTCTCCTTGTCGCTCCGTTCGTCCGTTTGTTTGTGTTTTGTTTGAGCTTTAAAAGCCAACAAAAGACAAAAAACGAGTCACTGCCAAGTTCCAAATGGGGGAAATCGGCCAAATATGTATATATATATCAATTTAATTTGATAAAAATACTTTCAGAAAGAATTTGTTGTCATTTACAGAAGACACTTGATGCAAAATGTAACATATCCGCAAGGATGGACGAGTATGTAAGAATCGCGCCTACCAAGCCAGTGTTCGCGGGTTCAAATCTCCATGCTCAGTCGGTAAGAGCATAGCGCTTACCAATTCGGCACACAACGACTAGGCTACGGCCAAGCCCACTCTATTTCTATATCTTTCCTCACTTCCCTGTAATCGTCATCGTGTTACGCGAATAGCGTACATCCCCTGAATGATTGGCTACCTCAAGAGATATATATAAGTATATATAATATAACGGCTTACAATTGAGTATTTAGAACTTATAAAGGAACTATGTAAACCTTGGGTATAAATGCTTATATAAGTATAAACCAGTATGCAGTTAAAACTACCTCTCCGAGAATAGATAGAGAAAGAAAGTAAGACATGTATGACTGAAGTCAACCCAATTAAGGTCCTTTTGTAATTTGAAATATTACGTTTTGTTTGCGCGTAAACATTAAGGATACGTAAATCAATAAGATCGAGATAAAAAAGATCAGATTCATAAGCGATATAAAAAGTAAAATGTGTAGAATGTGTAGATAGCTTACATATTAAGTAAACCGTACCAGAAGTGTTTCAATGCGCTAAGTCAAAATTAAGCACTGTTTAAGTCGGCCATTTTTATTTATTTATTTTTTTTTTTTCCTACATTTTTGCTTTAAAAAATGTATGAATATAAATAAAAAATTAAGTTTTCATTTAAAAAGCAAGCCATTTATTTATTTGTGTACGTATATGTGTACAAATATGAATTGTATCTGAGCCTTTTAACCACCACGCAAATTTACTTCCTTTTATTGTATATATATATATACATACACATTTTCTCATATGTATTGCTATAAACATGCAACAACAATAACGATAGAGATAAAAAAAACAACTTCGAAGAAGTAAACCATTTGTTGTGGCTAAAGTGTATTGCAAATGCTTTAAGGGGCAAATGTATAAAAAAAGAGAGAAAAAGAAAAAAAAAAAAAAAAGTAAAAACAAGGCTAAATAATATACAACACTAAACAAATGCACGATTAAGATAAAAAAGTTTTTACCTGAATTAAATTAAGTATAACGAAACACGAAACTTTTATTTAGTTTTTAATTTTATTGTGGATTATCGTTGTTAGTTCTTATTCTGCTTCTTTGTACAGCCAACAAAATTAATATAAAAAAAAAAAAATTTGCAAACAAATGGAGCGGTAGTCGACTAACTTTTTACCCTTTAGGCGCTCATTTATTCAATAAAATTCGACGGTGAAAAACCTTTGATAAAACCTTCAATTGTAAGCGACTGGAAGTTTCCAGGTGAGTTACTCATGCAATGAATGCTAAGAACTTTACCGTAAAGATTTTTTTAAAAACCGAAAGGTTAGTCAGAAGCGACCGAAAGTTATCTGAGTTTAGATTTTGCTAAGCAACAAACAACATATCTTACTTACATCCAGACATTTTTAGTATCAAACCATCCAATCAAGGATAGGGATATTCTCTCAAAACTTTGACTGTTTTATGAGACTTAGAAAACATGTCCGGCAAATTCATCTGACGCGATTAGAGATGTCTTCATGTATACTCCTCGCTATATACATTCTTCAATTGCAAAGTAAAAAACTAACGACTTATTTCCAAAATCTGCTTTTGGCTAAAGTTCAATTTAGTCGAGAGACAGGTAGAAATATAGATAGACGAAACTAAACTTTTCAAATTAATAAAAGTTGTTAAAAAATGGGGAAAACCTCATTCAAGTCCATTGACAAAACAAAATTATTGCATATCTATAATCATCGTCCCATTCCGACCGGAATTATAGCTTACATTTTGCAACAATAAGTTGATATGATTACCATAAAAATCAAGAAAACTCGATAGACCCACAGATTTTCACCATTTATAATGCATGAACCATATTGCCGGACGAGCCATATAGAGAACTATACAAAACTTGTAAAAGAAATGTAAAAAACGTTAACAGATATATTATGGAATTAGAATCTGAACTTGCCGTAGATATTTTCAGCCGATTTATGTGATTAACGTAGAGTTCTAATTAAATCGAATAAAACCAAGTTCTCTAAGTTACCATTGAAGAATAAACTAAGCCATTGTCTATGCAGCTTTTCCTTTCTTGTTTTTTTTTTTTTTTTTCTACAACAAAAACGACAAAACGAGCCTTGCCTTCTCGTTGTTGTTGTTGTTGTTGTTATCATTAAGCCGCAAAACAAAGTAGCATGGGTAAGAAAATAATTACATGATCAAAACATGACGAACACAAAGCACGTCATTTTCTATGTAGCCATTCGACACTATACACAGGTAGTGTTCAATGGTAGATAGACCTCTCCTCACGTAACCAACCAACATATTATATTTTATCCGTAGAATATGAGTGGCCATGATTCAGACAAATGTATGCAATATGTACACGTTTTCATACGTTTGTTTGCTTTGCATGTCACCGAATATGCTTTTGTAGTGGTTTTCAACGCATATTTATGTGCATACGTTTGCTTATGTTGGTGGTGTTTTTTGTGCCGATTGCTATGGATACCAATGTCGGTGCTCCCTTTTTCACTATTTCTTTTTTTTTTTTTTTTTTTTCATATTCAGGTGTAATGCAATATAATGGCTTCGATGCATAAATGCCGAATATATTTTATATACATACATATGTATATATATATATATGTATATATATACTCCTGGTTTCTTTATTTAACTTTTCTTAGTGTTATTCTTTGCATTCTTTCATTTATTTTATTTTTTTTTAAATGCGCACGACA